GCATGCAAACAAGGCAAATACATTAACTCAATTTAGAGTTTGGGATTAAGGACCTCACACACCCCCCTCCTCCCCACACACACACACACACACACACATAGACACCGGTGTGCACACACCCTTTCTGCTGTGCTTTTCTCCATCCTCTCCTCTCTTTGTGATGGGATCAGCTGAGCGCTGCATTCTCCTCTCCTTCCCCTTCACCCTATCTCTCTATCTCTCTCTTTTCTCTATCTCTCCCTCTCTCCATAACTCTCCCTGTCCCTCTCCTCTCCCTCAGGGGACCCGGGGGCTCTTGGACCTCTATAGTTATGGGCCGGGGCCATCTGTCAGCGCGCACATTCACGCAGCCACCAGAAGGCCGCAACATGTGCAGATTTAAATGGAGAGCCCAACTTTCCCAGGACACACAGGCCTGACCCCGGCAGCCGCTGTCCCCCCCCACCCCCACACCCTCCCTCCTCCTCCTCTTCCTCCCTCCTACACCCTCTTCTTCTCCACCGTGGCCGCGATCCGGCATCCCCGAAAAAATCTCCACCGCGCCCAGCTGCCACACCCTCCCCTCCAACCAGCACCTATCTGCATACGACCCCCCCCCCCCCCCCCCCCAACCAACGGATTCCCACCTTCCTCAGCAGATGATGATGAAGAGGGAGGATGAGGAAGAGGTGGGGGAGAAGGAGACGAAGGGGGATCAGCTGACTGGTAAAGCAGAGGGAGAGAGAGGACGGAGGAGAGTGCTTGTATGTTGTGGGGTTTTTTTTAAGGATGTGTGTGTGTGTGTGTGTGTGTAGGAGGGGATAGGGGTGGGGGGGGGAGGGTGTATTGTCTGTGGGACCTGAAGGAGGACAATGGGAGCGGCGGGGGGGTGGGTTGAGTGTCACACGCTTTTGCTTTGTGGCTTGGTCAACAGGCGTGTGCCGTGGGTGTCGTCTCGCCTCCCCTCGCCTGCTGTCCGACTCCGGGAGAAGGGGCAGGCAGCGGCCCCTGAGAAACCTGGGCCCCCGCCCCCCTCTCCCCGGCCCCCCCCCGGCCCCCTTAATGAGGGGCGTGCTGTTTCTTATCAAAGATGGACAAGCCATCATTACAATTATCATTAGGAGCCCCACAATGGAACACACCTCCCCGGCTATGGATGGAAAAATCCTCCTACAGAGCTGCAGCAGTGAGAAAAAG